TTTTTTTGCCGAGGGTGTTGCGCATTTTCTTTTAATGGGCTTTTTTATCAGCCGGATGATGCGTTGTTGTTGTTGTTGTAGCAGCATACAAGTTCCCCAAAGGGTTTTTGGGGAGTGTTGCTGGAGTGACAGTCCTTGGCCAGATATAAATCTGGGTCGTGCCGGTTACGTAGACCCGACTGTCGACGGAAGGTGCGTCTAACCCCTCGGCTACGATGGTCGACAGTAAACTGAGAGAAATATATACATACATACATATATGTGCGCGTAAAACTCTGTATCAAAGTACATATTTTTAAACTGCTCAGATATACATAGACAAAGGACTAAAAAATAACTTAAGGCAATTATTTTCAAATACTTTTTCAAGAGAGTTTCATAAACAAGTGAATATTTTTATTGATTCCCATTGCAAAGTATGATTGAAAAAGTTATTTTCTCTAACTATTTAACTCCTAATATTAACTCTCTGGTATTTGTAGTAAAAAGAAAATAAACTCAATAAAAATGGCTGAGTTAGTCAATTAACATTTACATGAAATTTACATTACAAATTTGACTTAAATTGCATTAAAAAATATAATTATTTTCGAAATAACTGTGATGCTTTAATGCATATCTAAAATCAATCCTAGCTATTTTTTCTGGAACAACCTTGGATTGAGTCATAAAAAACTTACACCTAATTTTATGAACGGGAATAACCGCCTTTCTTTTGTGGAGTATGAGGCAATGTAATGTAGTATAGCAAGCACACTCAAGCAAATAAGGATTACTTTTAGGAATCCTTTATGGAAATTGTGTCCATAAATCACTTCTTCACTATTTTTTACTTTGATAGCTGAAATAAATATTTACATACATATTTATTATTTTTTCGCACCCTATACATCAATCAGGTACTACTATGCATTACCAAGCAGCTCAACAAAAACGAGTACTTTATACGTTTCTCACTGCCAATGTAACTGTTTTCAAAATGGGCAGGTGAAGTTAACCTTAGCACATTTTCAAGTGTAAAAGATCGTAAAAGCGATTATTGGCAATATCCAAAAAGCAATCAAATGACGTGTGAGTACTAAAAGTGCGATAATCGGCACGCACAGAAGCACCTAACGGTAGAATAATGTAAGAAAAAGTAGGCAAACGTTAAGGAGCTGTGAGTGTACATAACATTATAGTGAACACTTATTCCCATTAACATAGCTACCTACTGACACCATTTATATGCATATTAAAACATCTAACGGTTATAACAAAGAGGCTTCACAGAACTTTCGTACACGTCGTAAGTGAAGGTGACAGGCAAAAGGTGAAATGCCGCATTTCCGCTGTCATGCCAGCTTGTTGCAGGAGCTGCAGGAGGAGCGCCTCAAGAAAACTGACTTAAAAACCACACATATGCTGACACCTTGTCATATATGTACATAGGTATGTATGTAGTTGGATGCACAAGTGTGTAACATGTGCATGAAAGTGCTAGCGTTTTGAAAATCATAATTGAAAAAAAAAAAATCTTGAGGTTACTTATTGTTTTCTATGGCCGCTCACTGAAGCCATTTCTGATTCTTTAGAAGTTAGACGCAATTTAGTTGCGCTAGTTAACGGTCGTTTTTTCGATAAAAGAAATTAAAATTTTTAAACATGATGTTTGGTATGGCGTGCGATCCTTTGAAGCATACAAGCATGTATGAGCGTATGAACGAGGGTACACATTTTACAATAAAATTGAGCCGCACAAAATATTTAAACGGATTTTAATTGATTTCTTTGTATCATCTTCTGCACTTCCAGATAGCGAGGACAGCGATGGCGAGGGCGGACTTGGAAATGTGTCACGCGTTATCATACGGCCGCCAGGTCAGAGCGGTAAGGCTAAACGTGGACATCTTTGCTTTGATGCTGCTTTTGAGACGGGTAATCTGGGTAAAGCTGATCTTATTGGCGACTTTGAGTATGATCTATTTTTACGTCCGGACACTTGTAATCCTCGCTTTCGGTTTTGGTTCAATTTCACTGTGGACAATGTAAAACAAGATCAGCGTGTACTCTTCAATATAGTTAACATTAGCAAGCCACGTAATTTATTTAATTCCTCTCTGGTGCCGTTAGTAAAGTCGTCGAGCCGTCCCAAATGGCAACGATTACCGAAGAAGAACGTTTTTTACTATCGTTCGTTGCTGCATCAAAATCATTATGTGCTTAGCTTTGCTTTCTCCTTCGATAAAGAAGATGATGTGTATCAATTTGCAGTAGCGCCACCTTATAGTTATTCACGGCTACAAGCATATTTAAATGTGATCGATGCGCGACAAACGGAGCAACGGTTCGTGCGTAGTGTGCTGACAAAGAGTCTGGTAAGAGTAAATACATAGTAACTATAATAGTATGTATGAGGCCATGTGAACCAGACGTGCCAATCTACAAAAGATTCGTTTTAGTTATATGAGAAAGAAGGATCTATAAATAATAAATGCGGTCTTTTACTGAAAAGTTCAAAGCGCCTACGTCATGCTACCTATTATATTAAAAGAAAACTAAAAGCGCATGCCTCGCGCTATTACCGCTACGATTCTAGTAATGCATTTTAAGCTGTACCTAATTTTTTTATGTCGGTTAGGCTACTCTGGCTAGGACCCCCTATTGATTTTCGGCAAATTTTTTTGTTGAGGGTGTCGCACATTTTTAACATATAAAAAAATGATCGAACATTATTTTATAGCAGAAAGTGAGATACACCTTCAACAAAAAAATGCTAAAAATAAATGGTAAGTCCTCGCTACCTCAAACTTGCACTTTGTTAAACTAAAATTGAATCGGCTAAAAACTGCGAACTCAACTTTTTTCTAACGAGTGTACATAAAAAGTGCAATATTTGGATGAAAATTTGTAGAATTTTCTTTAATTTTGCATAAGGTTTGGAACTCTGATTTTTGGGGTTTTTGTTGTAGAATTAACCGTATTTTTATAAAAAATTAGCGAAAAAGAAACCTAAACTTGTATGTAATAATAATAATAATATTTTGGCGCTTACACTTTTGCTAAGCGTTTGGTAGAGCTTCTCCTCCGAATAATGGCGTGCGGCTTGATATTGTTGAACCAATTGGGGGACCTATAGCTTTACGCCGCCTGCGAACGGAAAATGGAAGCTTTGTTAAAGCCGAAAATATACTCGAAGATTTGACATTGCTAGCCGAGGAGAGTACATATGTACATTGTAGTTGTCCGACCTTGTAGGCTACGAGAATTGGTTAAAATGCATACATACAAAATTTCAATCGCATAACTCTTAAACACAGGAATTGACTTGCGTTCAGGCAAACAGATGGACGGGCATGGTTAATAGGACTCAGCTCATAGTATTGTAGTAATATCGATTGAGACTACAAAAAAAAAATAAATAAAACAGATGTTGCCAAACCTAAATAAAAACAATCATTTTTCGTTTTTCTTTTCCTCAGCAAAACCGTAATGTCGATCTGCTCACCATCGATCACGTCACCGCCAAAGCAAAGGCATCACGCCTGGATCGCGGTTTTATTCGCGTCATCGTTATATTATGTCGTGTACATTCCGGTGATACACCGGCCTCCTTCATGTGCCAAGGATTTATTGAGTTTCTAATCGGCAATCATGCGATTGCAGCGACACTACGCGATAATTTCGTCTTCAAAATTTTGCCGATGGTTAATCCAGATGGTGTATTTTTGGGTAATAATCGTTGCAATTTAATTGGGCAGGATTTGAATCGTACATGGCATGTAGCCACGGAGTTCTCTCATCCTACGTTGTATGCCATTAGGAATATGCTAAAGGAACTGGATAACTCTGATGTAAGCGCGCACAGCCTTTGTAATGTTTAATTCATATCACTAACGTTATGTCCAATTGCAGATTTATCAAATTGACTTTGTTATCGACTTGCACGCGAACAACAGTCTGCATGGCTGCTTTATCTATGGCAACACATACGAGGATGTCTACCGGCATGAACGTCATCTTGTATTTCCGCGGCTCTTTGCCACCAATGCGCATGATTATGTTGCCGAAAATACCATGTTCAATGCGGACGAGAAGAAAGTTGGTTGTGCGCGTCGTTATTTTTGTGAACGTCTCAGCGATACGGTAAATGCTTACACGGTGGAGATCTCCATGGGCGGCTACTATTTAAAGGATGGCAAAACTGTGACGCTCTACACAGAAGATGGCTGTAAGCGAATGAATTATAAGAGTAATATGTATGAATATCAAAATTAATGTAAATAATTATTTCGTTATCAGATTACCGCTGCGGCCGCAATTTGGCGCGCACTTTCCTCCACTATTATCGCTTCATCAATGTGCTACCGACGCCTGTTGTGTCTGAGGTGCGGTTGCGGCGGCGCAATCGCCCACGCACTCATCACTCACGTTCACGTTCCCGCACACGTTACGAAGTGAAGCCGCGTCCGAAGACAACGCGCTGTTATGCGCCCATTGCGTATACGAATCTCTCGATACATTACGACTCCGGTGGCTCATCCGATGAGGGCGGGTTTTCGCCCACGCGCCCCATAGCGCCAAGTAGCAGTCTCTTCAGTGGCTATCGGAACTATCGACGTACGCATGGCAGTTCGGCCGTCACACACGATCAATATGCGCTGCTGGCGCTCAAGTCAACGAGATACGATCACTTGGGAGATTTTGGCGGCGGCGGTGGTCGAGCCCATGCGTATCAGCATAGCCGAGCGGCTACGGCTGAAAAGTCAAGCAAAGCAGTTACATTCGAACAACCATTAAACGTGCCACCCAAACCATATTTATCGATTATTGATCTTAACCAGCTGACGCGCGGTAGCTTGAATCGAAAGACGGTCAGCTTCGATGCGGATCATCGCTGATTGACGGTACGGAGAGGGAGTAAATTGCGTGCACTTAGCAAGTAGATAGATTAACAAATTTTTCATCCAAATTGATATCTTATAGCTCAATTTCATCTACTACAAATTTTTCCTCTTAGCCATTTACGCTTTATTAGCTTTAAGTACATACTGTAGCAATGAACTTGAACGCTTTTCATGTCGATTTTAATACTTTTTCCGAAAATAAACTTTCTCTACATAGACCAAAATCGAATCACTTAGATGAGTCAGCTAAGAGTTTATATTATGTAAAAGACGTGAATGCAATGGAACATATCTAGGGCTTATATTCAATACCCTCTATCTGAAATTTTTGCAAACATTACTTTCTGATATTAGAACCCGTCTGCCATTTAACTGTCANACAGCGGCAACAACATATACAATAGTGGCAGTACGTGATTTTGCAAAACAAAAAGTTGGCGACGATACCAATCAAAAAGTAAATAAAATAACTATAAAATAAAATAAACAAAAATTAGTAGATACACAAAATTTTTTAATTAAATTATTTAATAAAAATTTAAAAATACTTTAAAGTAAATAAGCTTAAATAATATAAAATGAAATAAGCTAAAGTGAGAAAAGAAAATTAAATGCAATAAAAATTTAAAAATATGTATCTATAAAAAATATAAAATAATTAAAAAACAAATTTAAACCAAAATAAAATAACATTAAATTAAATAAAAAATAACACAACATAGCTGAAAAAAATTATAAACTACAAATTTTAAATATAAAAATAAATACTATATTTAAAAAAAATACTTTAAAGCATTCTACCGATTTTAAATATTTTTTAAATTAGTTATCTAGTTATCCATTTCTTGCTTTCTTTAAGTTTTGTCTACTAAGGGCCGTTTTCTGAAGTAACATTTAACTTTAAAGCTCACTTTATATTTAAAGGTTGGAATAAAAATAAAGCCATGTCTAAAGTTAAGCATTTCTGTTATCGGTTTTTGACGTAAGTATGTTTCTTTGTTGTAAATCAATTTAAAACTGATAATAATATGCTTTACTTTAGATACAATCAAAAATTGTAATGCAACCTCTAAATATAAAGTGAGCTTTAAAGTTACAGGTTACTTGAGAAAACGGCCCTAAGTCGTCTGCGCATGTGCGCCGTCATCGCTTGCAAAACAGCCAGTAAACTGGCGTCATCTGCCAACTACTTCTGTTTTGTTGTTATTGCCACAAGTTGCAATCAAAAGCCGGTCAATCAATGTCAACAACGAACGCAGACCACCGCGTATTTACATACTTGGCCGTGCAACACAGAATTCAGGGGCGCATTTAAGACAACCAGCGTGAAATGGGCCACAATTACAAAAGGCATTGAAAAGTTTTAGCAAGAAAGCAAAAGCAAAATCTGAGAATGCGCAAATAGCAAAGAAATGTGATGTGTGTGTGAGAGATGCTTGCTATGTTCGCTTCCAGCAGGTTCAGGTTCGAATGCCGTCAGCATACAACCTTTTTTAATTTTTTTAATTTTTGGTTTTTATTAATTACGAAAAAGCATCTGTGAAGTGAAGAACAAAGTCCAACCAACACGAATATTGACTCAAGTTGAACAACAACATGTTGACATGATAATAAAAGCATTTCTTTTGTGTCTCCGAACTATGGAAAAGTATATGTGAAGTCCAGAACATAAGCGTATTCAAAAGAAAAAATTGGCATACAAAAATGTCAAATCTCACCAAATCATTGTTGAAAATATCAACAGTGGCATTGTTAGTAAAAAAAAATCACTTTGATTCATTTCATGTTTTAGTTTGGTATGACTAACCAATTATTGGTTGATTTTTTTTCTCAGTGTATAAAAAATAACTGATGATCGCTAGTCTATAAAGTTTTTTATAGCGAAATTTTTTGATTTTTTTTTTAATTTCTTAAGACTCTCTGTGGCCTCTGGCCTTTATGATTCCCTGCCGTGAAAAGCCAAACCAGTCAGAAAAAATACTAGCTAACTAGTATGAGCCTAACAGTTTGACAATTTCGAAGAACTGAAGCGTTCAGCGACATTCGCCTTTGAAATGCCAAAGCCAAAAACAAAACGCAATTAACTGATTTTCTTACAAATGTCGGCTGTGCGTGAACACTACTGGTTCTGGTTCTGAGGTCGCAGGTTCGAGTCCGCTGGAGGTGGTTAATATTTTTCAAATTAATTTAATGTAAGTTAATATAATTATTTCAATTTAAATATAAATTACAAATTTGAAAATCTAATTTCATTACAGAAAAAATTTTGTTTAAATTTATTTTTTGTTTTTTTTTTAAATTTGTTTTTGTTTTTTGTTTTTTAATTTGTTTGTCTTTTTTTAATTTTTTTGTATATTTTTTTAGGTTTTCATTGTAATTTTAAAATTTAGTTAAAAAATATACATATAAAATCAAAACAAATTAAAAACAAATAATAAAAAAAAGTCCTTGCGCCAGGACTCGAACCTTGGACCTCTGGAATACCACGCCAATGCTTTGCTCTGTCGGCCATTGCCACTGTTGGAGCGCCCCGAGCAAAATGTAATACTTATGCTTTTCACGGGGGGGTTGTTTGATGAATAGGCAGACTATCTAATCAACTGGTATTATGCTACCAATATTTCTACTAGTAGATGCTGATGCATAGCCTGACAAATGACATAGCCAGGACATCGTTATGTTAAAAATACCAGTCGCTAACATTGCAAAATGATAGAACGTGAACTAGTTGAGCTGAAACGCAAATTGGTAGAATTCTAGTTCTCCCTGCAGGGATGGTTTCCGTCTCTATCCACGAAAGCCCACAGTCGTCCAATGAGCTCAAAGTCAAACAATCCTCCGTTGCTAGTCTCTTATGTACTTCAATCAGCGCAACCAGGGCGTGCGCCACTCCGCGCTCCTCGTTCAATTTGACCAACTGTCTGTTGGTTGTCTGTTAAGTGCATAAATTCTTCTTTGTTCATAGAATTTTATATCGATTTGTCACTTCTGTGCACCCAACGTTCACTTGTACGCCTCGGTGTGCCTATGTATGCGTCAGCACTCAGTTCCCCTGGCTCCAACAATAAATCAGAACGACTCGATCGCTTGTCGATATTCACATCCACGTTCGCTGCTCATCATTGGCAATGACATCATCATCGTCGGCAGCGGCAACGACAACGACAACGACAACGACAACGACAACGACAACGACAACGGCAACGGCAACGGCACATGTTGTCAACGGGCTGGTTTTAGTTGTTGTTTGAATGCTCACTTTGTTGTCGTCTGTCATCGCGGTTTAGGTTTTTCTGTTGCCAGCGCTGTCGTTTTAGTAGTGTTTGTTGCCGCCTGGTCAGCAAATTTTTTTTTGCATAAAATATTTAAGCACTTTTCGATTTTTATGCCATTCGAGTCGATTTTTGCATGCGAGTGGCGAGCGGATAGTGGAAAATTATCAAACAGAATTGAAATAATTATGTGACTAGCGAGCTATTTGCAAATGTTCAGATTTTCGAACAGTGTTGCGCACAATATGAGTAGTAGGAGGAATTTGAAGTCCATTTTCCAGAGATTTGACAGTTTGTGTCACAGAAAATGTGCTGAAAATATAACAACCCAATCTCAATTCTTTCCCAAACTGTTAATTTTTTTCTCCTCACTGTTGCCTGCTAACAAGTATTGTTCTTCAAGTGCGCTTTGCCGCAATTTAAAAATAGTTGAAGAGTCAAAAATCGACTTTTTGAATATTGATTTTTTGCCTTTCAAGCAATAGTTGTTCTTGTTTGTTTTTAATTGTTATTGATGTTATTGACATCGTTCGATTTGGTTTTGAGCAACCACTTGAAGTTCAAAGTAGTCGTGCATACCATTTTTCTAGTATTTTTTTTTTGTTTTTTTTTTTTTGGAAATGTATTTATACCTTTTTTGCTTTTTCCCCTCCAATCTTGCTGGTTCTTTGAATATCCTCTGTTTACTAATTTTTCCAAAACAAAGTTGATTTATTGCCACCAAATTGGTGTCATAGTGTCAGTAGACGTTGCGCCTTTTAAATTTATCAGCTTCTCCCTTGTTTGTGTTAACTTTTCCTTTTTCACACTTAATGCGGCTGTTTGTATTTTCCAAGCGTTCAATGTTTACATTAATCATTCACGTTTAAAGCCAACTAATTTCTGTTAATTAATATGTGCGACAACAACAAGCGCAGGGGGGACGTGCTGCGCATGCGCAAAGTCAATAAATAGCCAGATATTAAAATAAGAGTGTCTACCTTCGCGCTAAATGTGAAGGAATTCGTGTAGAATTGTGCTGAAGAACGCTTGCATGAATATAAAAAATGTGGCAATAAAGTTTTGAGGAATCAAAAATTAAGCGATAGGAAAAAATTTCCAAAGAATATTTAGCGAGTACCCACTTGGCAGCTTATGGCAAAGATTTAAATAATTTTTAAACAAAAAATTATTCCAAATTAGTACATAATTGCAATGGAAAAGTCAATACAATCGCAGGTTTTTGTTTAATTATAGTCTCTTTATAATTACATGTTATGAAAGAATTTTTTTTTTTTGTTTTTTTTTTTATATTCTGCAAACCAAAATCTTCTTACATTGTAGGAGTCACGCCAATGTCATGCAGCAGCAGCAGACCATAACTTGTTCTATGACAATAGTCAAAAACGAAAATAAAGAAACTCACAAAAACCACAAAATGCCACAGACCAAGCAGCCAGCGATGTCAGGAAGGAAGCGGAGATTGACTGAGTTAAGTGGGCACGCAATTTTGCTAATAGGCAATTTATTAACTACGAACACGATGCGCTGCCTGACAATGAAGATGAAGTGCTACATAGCAAAGAAAAGTGGAGAAGGAAGTGAAGCGCAGGAGAAGAGAACGAAGCGAAGGAATACCACCAGCAATCGATGATTAAAAGAAGTTACGACAATGACACTGCAAATGATGATGAAGTTAATGACATCGACACTAATGCCACTAATCATATTTATTGGAGCTATTCATTGCGGAGGCGAAGTATCGATTTGGTTACTACGCGGCAGCTGTTGAGAGTGGAAGGGGTCTAATGTAAGTTATCGTGGGAGTATTGGAGGAGGAGTTGTGCTGAAAGGCTGTGGGAGAGAAAAAGAAGTTAGGCTGGTAGTGAAGTAGCAGAGGCAGGTTAATTGCAAAGTCAAATAAGAAATGCAGCAAAGGGAAGGAAGTTGGAGTCTAAGACGTGAAACCAGAAGGTGCGGAAGTAAAACTAAAGAGAACGAGATGCTAGCGATAACGGTAGACACAATGCAGTTTGAAGTTTAACTC